TTAACCATTTAATAATATTATTATATTCTATATCATAGTTATATAATATATTATTTAATAATAGTTTTATTGTATTATATTAAATATAATAATAAATATACATTATAATATAATATAATATAATATAATATAATTATTGTTTTTAATTATTTCATTTATTATTTTAATAATATTATTATATTCTATATCATAATTATATAATATATTATATAATTATAGTTTTTTTGTATTATATTAAATATAATAATACCTATATATTATATTATAATTATATATATTATATTATAGTCGTAATTTTTAACTATTCACATCAATTCAACCTCATAATTTACCAAACGCTATTACGTTGATTTTAAAACCAACACAGCTACTATAATTATAGTTTACCAAACACTTAGCTACTTTTTATAACATCTGTTTTTTCCTTTAATACAGTTAAAAGTAATTTTTTCAAAATCTATAACACTACCAAACTAAGTCTATATATGATAAGTTTTTTACCGTTAAATTTTATTAAAATCACTTCATATTAATAATGTAAAATAAATAATTTGTATCGATATAATTTGAAAATAAAGACTTCTCAACAGTTTATTTTTTCAAAATTTATTAGAGAAATCCTTAAAAAAGATTTCCGACTTTTGTGAAACACTTTCAGTACTTTGTAATGTGCAACTTCATCATCTCGTGCACAAAAATTGATCATCATACGGCGTGGTTTTTGAGGGGTCCTAATTCATAATTGCGAAAAATGTTGTTTAACTAACTTAAGTTTCTAACTTTCTATATATGTTTTTTTTTTTTTTTTTTTTTCCTTGTAATGAAATCAGTTAGAATAATTAGAGAAGTACATGGGACCTCAAACTTGGGTTGTGTTTTGACCACCAAATCCAAGCTTAGCTGGGAAATATATACTTGCGTACCCACCCAGACTATGGCCTCTCTGTCTGCCAACGTCTCGTCGATGTGCTATATGCATTGTTGGCACTGATTTTGCTTGCCTGGATCCTTTTATGGCAACGACTAAGGTCCCGTTTATTTCGCCTATTCGAGTTTAGAATTTGAGTTTTGCTACAGTAAAAAGCTCTCAGAAACAGTCACATCTAACTTTTTTACTACAGTAAAAAGTTCTCACATAAAATCACATCTCAACTCGAATTACAAACTCGAATCAGCGAAGTGAACGGGCCCTAATACACTTTCTCACCAATGAGTTGGTGGTTTGGTAATGACTCTCGTTCTTCTTTTCTCAGAATGAATTTGACGTTTAGTTTGTGAATTTAAAATTAAAAACTATAATATAATTATAAATTATAATTATAAATCAAACAAAACCCTTCAAATAAACATCACCTTATTAAAGTTTAATATTCAAAAACCCCACTTTAAAACATGTTTATCAGAACGTAATGAAATATAGCGAGAAGAGTAGTAGATTTGGACATCATATAGAAGTAGATGAATAAAAATAAAGATAAATTACCTATCTATTGTTTACTTACATGTTAGAAGTGGAATTGGAAACAATTCAATTTCTTTATGGTGTTGGCTTGTTTAGTTCGTTGATTCGAGTTTTTAATTTGAATTGAGATGTGACTTTATATGAGAGCTTTTTACTGTAGCAAAAAAATTAGATGTGACTGTTTATAAGAATTTTTTACTGTAGCAAAACTCGAATTCTAAACTCGAATCGGTGAAATAAACATTGTAACTTACCAATGTGATTATTAAGATGTCCTTCGTATAATTAAATAATGATTGACCAAATATATGAGAATTTTATCAAGAGTATATAAGTAACTTCGATATTCGTTCCCCATAGCTACTTAGGACTAATAACAAAGAAAGTGTAAGAATTTACATCTTATATATGTGTGGCTCATTTACACTTACCTTTTTTTTTTGGTAACTAAACACGTGATTAAATGGGAGATAAAAATGCTATTTTTATGCATTCTATGTGAAGTAAACACACCTTATGTTTGGTTAATAGACTATGCAATGTTAGACATCTAATAGGGAGTGAAACAAAGATCGTCATTTTAGTAGAACAAGATATTCCATCGATGGGTCTTAAGATTTCTACCTTAATCTAAAAGGACGGGGGACAGGAGGACATCTATGAACTTTTTTTTTTTTTTTTATTCAGCAAAAAAACTAAAAAATATATTAAAAAAAAAGCAAAGAAAAGAGTCTAATACTAGAGGTGAGCAATCATCCTTGGTTCTTAAGCAAGCCCTTCTATATATGTCACTATGATGTTCTTTCTGGTCCAGCCAACTAAAATTCTTTTTGAGACGGAAATACAACTAGGATATATGTTGTCCTTGTAGCATTAATTACTAGTTTAATTTGCATTTTAATGTTTCGTGTTCTGTTTTAAAGTTTTATGTGTCTGTTCTTTTGTGATACGTGTTTTAGTCATTTTCTAATTTAAGAGTACTACGTACAATACTCCTTGCAAATGAGACTACTTGTGACTTTCTTCCAATTGTACGTGTAATAAATAGCATAATATTGCTGATTAATTTTATTCTCTATTCTCCCCCTTTGTAACCGGTGAATATATTACGGACCCGTTTAATTCGTTGATTTAAATTTTTAATTCGAGTTAAGATGTGATTTTATATGAGAACTTTTTATTATAGCAAAAAAATTAAATGTCACTGTTTCTGAGACTTTTTACTGTAACTAAATTCAAATCGGTGAAATAAACGGAGCCTGCATAATTCTATTTAGTGGGGTTTGAAGGAATGTTGGTCTCTCCCATATTGTCAACCGTTTCAACTAACAAGTAGCA